GGAACCATATGATTATATCTTAATAATCTCTTCAGGATCGAAGACGTTTTCACAAGATTCATTAATCTTCCTAACCAAGAACGAGAGAAGTAAGCTAACACTAATTTCGTTTCGTTTGCTTTTTCTTTCCTTTTTTTCTGTAAGATTCATAATGGTTTATTATTCGTAAATTTTATCTTTTGTTTTCTTTTTTTCAGTGCTCAACTCCCCGAACACAGACGCTCGTACGTATCACATTTTTATTTTTAGTTACATTACATAATCATATGGGATATGATCATTATAAAAATAAAAGAAAAAAAACTAATTTGATTTCTCATTTTGACCCCTTTTTCTTTTGCAGAGATATTCAAAGCAAAGAGGTTCGACTAAATCCTAGTGATTCTTTCTTTCTTTTTGCTCAAGATGTGATTTCTTTTTATTTATCTATTAATTTAGAATAATGTTATTACATGACAGTATCTACTAAGGATTTTGCAGCAACTCAAGACTGAGAATGACATTGCTCTTCAACACACTAAGTCCGAATCTTCCTTCTGTTTTGTCTTTCTAACCGAGTTTATAATTTCATATATTCACTAACGAATACACTCTTCAACACACATCTTAACTATACACTAACTTTTGTTTTCATATAATTATTTTGATAAAAGCCCTGCAGCTATCAACTCCGACGTCGAGGTAATTAATCTTTAAATTCTCTATTGATTAATATACATAGAAACATATCGATATATTGTTACTCTACGTAGTTTATTAACCGATTAATCTCTCTTAATTTGTAATCGAAAAATCTAGGAACTCGAGCAAGAAGTTTGTAGGCTACAACAACAACTCCAAATGGCAGAAGAAGAACTAAGGTTTTTGTTAATATGTTCTATGTTATAACTTATTATAATATGTTGCTTAAACCATATATGATCCATTTGTATCAACCTATATAATATATGATCGCAGGAGATACGAACCGGATCCAGTAAGATTCACGAGCATGGAGGATTATGTAATTTGTGAGAAGCAACTTCTCGACACTCTAACACATGTCGTTCAACGAAGAGAACATCTCTTGAGCAATCATTTATCTTCTTATGAAGCATCTACTATGCAACAAAGCATCGCAGGTCCTTTTGTTAACGACGTCGTTGAAGGTTGGTTGCCTGAAAATGGGCCCAATCAAGCCCATCTATTTGATGCATCAGCCCATTCCAATCAACTCAGGTATATTCATAAATAGTTTCATATGCTTCCTCATGTAAAATTTTCTTATATATTGTTAATATAAAATTAGCAGAGAATTATCATCTGCAATGTACGAACCATTGTTGCAAGGGAGTAGCTCAAGCTCGAACCAAAACAACATGACTGAATGCCACGTGGCAAATCATAGAGAAATGTTCCCAGAGTGGGCCCAGACATTTACATCTTCGGCATTGTTGGCTTCTATGCACCAGGTTTTGTTTGCTTTTTTTTTTGTTTCCAATTATTATTGCACTAAATAGTTAGTAATAATGTAATATTGAGGTTTTGGTAAAATTGCCAGCATGGAGGTGTGGGTCCTATTATAGAGGAGATGATGCAAGGTCAGCAAGGTGAAATTCCGGCGGTGACGACGGCGGAGGCACAAGCCGACCATGAAGTCGCCGACTATGAAACAAGGGTTCCTCATCTCAGTAGCCAATAATGTCAAAAGA